AAAGATAAAGAAACACTTAGTTTAGATTACTGTCTACGTTCAATATTTGTGAGTCTGATCAACTCACACAGTTGACCAAGAAGTAGCCAAGATGAGTACAGACTATAGCGTTAAATGTTGGGCTATATAAAGATAATGAGGACAGCTTAAATTATAGGAGGGGTGAGTGTAGGATGCCCATTAGCAATATGTCGTATAACATTAGTTAAATAAGAACTATTGCGTCATGCAGTTGTGACAGTTACCATAGTAACGAGAAAGGACAGACAAACAGATTTCCAAGATGGCGATTAATAAACCACGTTGTTATTAATGTTCACATTGTTTTACGAAATAAATTGTGCTTTCTACTGTTTTAATACTTGAATTATGGGATAGATCGAGAATTTAGTGAGCGGGCAACACCTACGCTTTTGAAAATTGAAAATCCTTTGATGTGCTATTATTTACTGCATATAATCTATTTTGACTACCACATACATATTCTTACAATTTCTTTCTGCTAATATCATGCATGCATGATCGGATGTTCGATCGCAAAATTTTGGTCTTGCTATTTTGAATTAAAGTAATGAATAAGCTATTTTTCTGAGAGTAATGTCACATAATTCGAGAAAGTTCCACTGATCATAATTGAAATAAAATAAGTGTGGTTAACAAATAAATGTTGTGCAAAACGTATTTTGAACACATTAACTTTATAAAAAAAAAAAAATAAATAAATAAATAAAAATAAATAAAATGTGCCTCGATGGTGAGCTTTGTTTGTCGTGTTACCAACCCTCCAATTAAAAAATTGTAAGATAGAAGCTTTGTGGGGAAGCTGCTGGTTGTCTTGGCCCCATCCAGGTTTCCTGTATATTCCAGGTTTTTTCTGACCTCCCTGACTATCCAGCTATAGTATGAGTGATGGTAACGCCCAAATATATGTCTAACTATCATCTGGCAGCAGCTGTCTTGTATACAAATACAGCTGTGGTGGGAGTTCGTCTATGGGGAATACACATGCTGTGTATTTGTGGGGTTGAAGTGTTCCCAATGGTCAACTTCAGGCCCATAGACTCAGGTTATTTATGTAAATATAATCAGTCGAATCGTAGGTACTGTTCAAGGGGATTATCACCCCTTGGTTCAGGTCTATGTCAGAGGGGGTCGCTACCCTTCGGGCAGAGCTCCTATGGAGCATTCAGTCTCTCCTAGCAGGTCTTATATATACGCCTGCGGGATGAAAACATAAGGCTTAATGAGTCTTTGGGTTGTCCAGAGTTTGAGAGTATAATGTATATAATTGGTTTACTTCACCCTGAACCCATTCTCCCACAATGATTTGGCGTGTGTTTTACTTATTTTCGGGCTGTTCTTTCACCTAACGTGCTTGAATTATTAACAACTATTTCAATTAAGGTTGTTGCCACTTACGTTGGAAGCTTTATTTTACCTCGGGTGACATTACTTATAATCCTGAAAACCCGCGAACATTTAGATCTTTATGCTTGAAGTGTAACTGTGTTCGTAGTTTAGCGTCTCCAATATCTTGCTGTTATTGGAAATTTCAGCACAGCTAGCTGCATGGCAACTGTTCGTGCTATGCTTATATAGTCGTTAGCATGCATTGATTTGTTCAATTTCTTTTCAGCTAGTGCATGTTATTATCATAGCTTGATCAGTTGCCGTAGCTAGCTAAATACTTACTGTAGTTGCATAAATGCATGAAGTTAGTTTTCAGGGCTTTTTGCTATTTGATGTTAACGTATTGTTCTTGGGTTCGCAGTAATAGGCTAATCGCTGTTGCGAATACCCTGCCATATAGTCTATTCAGTTAATTCGTTAAATTATTACTTTGTAATAACTGTTATTAATGCACATTTTCATTGTTTTGAACAGGTTATTATTTTCAAGAATCGACATGCGCAAGTTAATGCAACGTCATTATTTAATGTCAGGAGGTTATTATTTTTAATAATGACCTCCGATATTTAAAATAATGACCCCGATTTTTCGCTTGAATAAAAAATAAACCATTGTGCGTTACAACTTTGCTTTAAAGCAAATTTTAATTACACTACAAAAATTTCCATTTTAATTTAACTAGAACGTATAAAGTTTTAAAAAACTAGGGCTTATTAACTACTGATTATTTCATACAGTGTTTTTCCAGGATACCTTTCTCCACCGTCTTTTCTTACTTCTGCGATGAACTGATGTAATACTTCGTTGAGGTCAACTTCTGGCATCATATGTATTTCTGACTTGTAAACCAAGAGAATTTT